TTTAGGGTTAAAGGGTTTAGGGTTTGGGGTTTAGGATTTAGGGCTTGGGGTTTAGGGTTCAGGGTCTAGGGTTTAGGGCTTTGGGTTCAGGGTTTAGGGTTTAAGGGTTTATGGTTCAGGGTTTAAAGTTTAGGGATTAGGTTCAGGGTTTGGGGGCTAGGGTTCTTTAAAGGGTGTTTGTTGAAGGTGTCTGTAGAGGTGTCGTAAGGGTTGTAGTATCCTCAATAATTAGAACAGGGTTTGCGGTTTGCGGTTTCTTATAGTACAATCCTAAGGAATCCTTTCAGTAAGGATCTTTCTTTAAACTTGTTTGGCACCCGGATTTGGTATCGGCTGAGTTTTTGGGCAAGCCCAGGTGATCTACATCCTCGGGGACAACGGAGCCTCTGCCGAAGGTCAGCATGGCCCCTTGGGCTTAATATAGGGGCCTCAATAATTACCTATATTATTTGGGGGGTTCCTTATTATCCGTATTATAATCAGAGTATAAGGGGCCCCAAAACCCTATTCTAACTATTAAGGCCCCTACATTACTGCTTGTGTTATGTGCCGTAGACTCTGAAGAAGCTTGTGCTGGTCACTACACTTGAAGCATCCGAAAGGTTTGGGGTTTAGGGTTTAGGGTTTAGGAATTCCTGATCTTTTCAAGCCGGTAGTTCGGAAGAAAAGCCCGCCGGAATCGAGCACTGCAATCTTCAACCCGGGGCCCTAAACCCCAACGTCTAGACCCTGAGCCTTAAGCCCTAAGCCCGAACCCTGCAGCTTCAATGCCCTCCCTAAACCCTAAACCCTAAACCCTAAACCCTTAAACCCTAAACTCTAAGCCCTAAACCCTAAACCCTAAACCGTCCCTGAACCTGAAATCTCTCACCCTTAGAGCCTTGAAGGCCAAAACCCCCGGGCGACCCGAAAGACCACACCTTGAACCCGCAAGGCATCAACGGGGTTTAGGGTTTAGGGTTCCTGAACCCCCGAAACGGGGGTTATAGTGGTAAATCTTCATTCCAGGGCCGTTTAAGAAAAGGTGGTTATTCATCAGGGGTCTACATTGATTGGGCTTGGAAGTGCCCTACTTGGCTGTATACATAGCCAGCCAGGCGACCTGTGAACCTGCAACCCCAAACGGTTTAGGCTTTAGGCTTGGGAGTTTGCCAAACATCACACCCAAATCAACCCCCCAAACTTCTGAATCGCCCGCCTTCACGCAGTAAGCCCGACACCCTAAACCCCAAACCCTACACCCCGGGCACCGACCCTAAACCCTTAGCCTTGAAAAGCCTGAAGCCGTACAAAACCTGAAAACACCCTAAACCTTCAAACCCTAAACCCTAAACCCCAAACCTTGAAACCCTAAAGCCCTAAACTGAAAACCGAAAAAAACGTACCTACAGCTCCAAAGCCTGAAAGGGCCCTTCAAAGTCCTAAGCCTTGAAGGCGCGAAAACATGAAACGCACACCCCAATCCCAAAGCCCTGAGCTTAACCCCTGAGCCTAAAGAACCCCGCATCTTAAAAGCCTAGTTTAGGGTTTAGGGTTTAGTTTTTGGAGTTTAGGGTTTAGGGCTTGGGGTTTAGGGGTTTAGGGTTTAGGGTTTATGGTTGAGGGTTTAGGGCCTTAAACTTAACCCTAAGTCTTAATAACCCTACACCTTGAAAGCCCTGACACTTCAAAGTCCTAAACCCTAAACCCTAAACCCTAAACCCTAAACCCTAAACCCTAAACCCTAAACCCTAAACCCTAAACCCTAAACCCTAACCCTAAACCCTAAACCGTTAATAACCCTACCCCTTGAAAGCCTTGAACCTTCAAAGTCCTAAACTGGATTCTTGTTAAGGGATTTAATTTAAGTTACCATAATAGGGATCTATAGTAAATAATATGGTTTCCTTATTATGGTAACTTAAATTAAATCCCTTAACAAGAACCCAGCTTATTATGGCAACTTAAATTAAATCCCTTAACAAGAACCCAGTAAAGGCACCATCGACGAGCTCATCGCAGAGAACGGACTTCCAAGCACTGCGGAGCTTCAGATCGAGGCCTTCCAAAGCTAGGTGGCAATTTAGGAAACTTTAAAAATTCCTTTATGGTTTCTATAGAGGTACCTATTCATAAATACTTCTCAGGGCCCCAAAACTACAACACAGCAAAGTACTTGGTGTTTTGGAATTCAGGGTTTAGGGTTTCTGGTTTTGGAATTCAGGGTTTAGGGTTTAGGGTTTTGTTCAGGGTTTAGGGTTTAGGGTTCGTGAAGTTACCCTCAGTATTTAGGTATTTATACGGGGCTGTATAGCTTGCTTATGCAGGGTTTCAAAGGGCTGTACATGGTTCCATAGCGGTTTCTAAGATTGTCATAGGGCCTTAGCCCCTGTACAGAGAGCGTTTACCCAACCTCCACTGAGGCCCAAACCCTAAACCCAACAACCCCGAAATCAGCCTGGTACTCAACAGCACCAGGACCCTCCTTGTGTCCTCAAATAGGGGTATATGGTCCCAAAGGTACTTGGGGTCTAACAGAGGGTAGATGGAGGGTCTAGGCACTTTAGCCCCTATCCCTTCCATACACAACCAATGCTGACACTACGCTGTGGAAGGCTCACGGGTAGCTCTCAGCAGCATTGCAAGTAAGGTAGCTGAGAAGCCTTGCCTCCGGTTTCGCATGTTTGGTCACAGGTGTTTGAGTCGGGCGGCTACACAAAGACTGAACCATGAACTCCTAAGCCCTAACCCAAACCCGTAATAGAGGGACCTTCATGGTGATAAAGGGTTTTCGGGTATATACTACTACAATTATAATAAGGAGCTCCCAAAACCCTATTCTGATTATTAAGGCCTCTATATAAACCCCTGAACCCCTAAACCCCTAAACCCCCAAACCCACTAGGCCCCGCTCCCGTTCGGTGGAGGTCTTGAACCGGGATTTCGGCGGCCTGAGTGCTCTGGGCTCCAAGTATCCTGGCTCGACATGAGGCACTACGCAGAATTCCTAACCCTGCAGGCCAGAAACCTTACGTAAGCCTTGAAGTCAGCCCTGAAAAGACAAGACCCCTCAAGTGATAACATAGGGGCCTTAATACTTAGAATAGGGTTTGGGTATATTATACTATAATCTGGTTATTAAGGCCCCTACATTACACGAAGTTAAAGCCCTAAGCCCAGAAACCCTGAAGCCCCAGACCCGGACACTCCAACGTGCGAGGTCGTCGAGGTCCTTCAGAGCTTCGGGTTTGTTTTTTTAGTGTACATGGGTGTTTACACATGCACTTGGTAATTACCAATGTCTGTTTCGTAAGGTTCAGGGTTCAGGGTTTAGGGTTTAGGGTGTAAGGTTTTGTGGGGGGGTGTTACAAATTGGGGCCGCAATTAGCGCGGGAATAGGATCGGATGCTGTGCGTGCTGACGGGTTTCGGGTGTAGTGGCCTGAGTAGGGGTTCGAGCTGCCTCCCCGAAACCCGTATCCCGAAAAAATAAACCCTATACCCTGAACCCGGGTTTAGGGTTTAGGGTTTAGGGTTTAGGTTTAGGGTTTAGAGTTTAGGGTTTAGGGTTTAGGGTTTAGGGTTTATAAACGCTTATAGTACACCCCAAAAGTTGGAAAACGGATTAAGGATAAATAGTGCTGGGATTCCCTATACATTCCTCTCGAGGATTGAGGCTGTTGGGTTTCCAACTTTTGGGCTTCTGCTGTAAGCCTAGGTCGAGTTTGTAGGATCACGGAAAGGGGCTCCAATCTCGCACATTTTCGATAAAACGATTGGGGTGTGTGGCTTTGGTGCCCTGCGGCAAAAGACTAGGCAGGTCTTTGGTGCATTTGATATGTTCCCTTATTGGGCTCAAGAGCATCTGATTTACAAATCTGTGTCAGAGGGCTTCGAGGGCGAGGGGCCAACCTAGACGAACAAATCCTACATCTCCCCCCCCGTCCCTGAACCCTAAACCCCAACCCCTAAACCCTAAACCCGAAACCACGACATTCGCGGCCGAGGAAGCGAACGGTTTCAGCTTGGCGACGGTTTAGGGTTTCGGGCTTTTGGCCGAATCCCGACATGTTAGCCGAACCCTGGACCCTGAAGCTCTGAACCCCAAGCCTAAACCCCACGAACTCCCCAGCAATCTTGAAAAGCTCTTGAAAAGCCAAATCCGTGTACAACTTAAAATCCGAGACCCCGAAACCCCCTAAACATCCCTAAACCCTAGATCCTAAACCCTTGAACCCGAAGCCCTAAGCGCCAACACTCGAAGCCCTAAACCCAAACCCTTGAATCCGAAACCCTAAGCCCCAAAGCCCTAGACTTTACAACCCTAAACCCTAGAACCTTAAACCCTAAAGCCCTAAACTCTACAACCCTAAACCCTAAACCCTAAACCCTAAACCCTGAACCCTAAACCCTGAACCCTGAACCCTAAACCCTAAACGAGGCATGTGGATAACATGTACCACAGCTCCTGGGCATGGGCCTTGGACACGCCTTTCAAGCCCCTCGACCGGAGAGGGGTGGTCCGCTCCCAGGGGGCCCCCCTTTAAGGGATCCTTTACGGGTTTAGGGTTTAGGGGTGTAGGGTTTAGGGTTTAGGGGTGCCCTACCGCTTAAGAATACCTTAAAAGGGTACGTTAAAGGGTTCGGAAGCGGAGGGGTCCGTTGTGGTAGGGGTTTTGAGGACTGTTCGGGGTTCGGGGCTCAGGGGGTCACGGCCCGGGTCTCGATTTTGGGGGTGTTGCTGCAATCTGGGGGCTAAGTTTGGAGTTTTTGGGTTATGGTGTTTCGCGGTTTAGGGCCCTAAAGTTGGAAACTCAATAGCTGCAATCCTTTAGAGTACTGTATAGGGAATCCCAGCACTGGCACTAATGGTCCTTAAACCAGTTTCCATTTTTCTGGGGTTTAGCCCTATTCTAATTATGAAGGCCCCTACACCCCAAACCCTTATAGTAGCCCTGATAGAACCCTTTAAGGAACCCTTTAAAGGAGCGTATAGGGGTTTGTGGTATGCTCAGCCCCAAACCCCTTCGGCCCCTAGACCCAAGCCCCTCCAGTAGTAGTAGTAGTAGTAGTAGTAGTAGTAGGAGGAGGAGGAGGAGGCCCTCCACCCTGAGCCCTAAACCCCTAAACCCTCAAAATCGAGACCCAACTTGAGAATTGCTTTGAGCTTCTGAATCCCAACAATATACGGAAGCCTAAATAATTGCCAATCCCATTTTGGGGAGTTCCTTGTTATAATTCTGGTATAATGNNCTAAACCCTAAACCCTCAACCCAATTGTTATGGCCTCTACATTGAGGCCAAGGCCAGGAGCCCGGACCCCAAAGCCTTTCCAGCCTTTTTTAGCCTAGTCGCAGGTGGTTTTGGCAGTGGGGCAAGTAGCCTTGAACATTTTTTTCTTTTTGGGGTACTGGAATCCCTGTATAATCCCGTTTTGGCCCCAAAATTTCACCTTTAGTGCCCCTAGGATAGTGGACAAGTGAGGGTGGTTTTAGTGCATGTGTGATGGAAATGATCATTTTCGGTTGCCAAGGAGCCTCCATGTAGACCCAAAACGGGCGTTTGAGAAAATGCGGACCCTAGGTGTAAACCCTAAATTATAGAATCCAGTGTCCGTATTGGAAGGAAGCCTACTGGAAGCCCCCCTCAAAGAAAGGGGTCCCACCTACAGCTCAGGTTGATAAACCTGCCCATGTGCTGGGTGGAGGCTGGCTTTTACGTGAAGGTGGTGCGGGCCGACGACTGGACATCCTGCACTGTTCTCTGCAGGATCAATGCCGGGGTAAGCTCAGACCTCCCGCTTGGACGAGTCTATGCAAAGTGGCACTCGGCCGACAAGGACAACCTTGTCCCGACTTGGTGCCAGGGCACCCTAAACCCTAAACCCTAAGTGCATGGTCGTACAGAAGTGCTTCACTGAGTTTGCGGAGCCGAGCTGGACCAACGAGAAGACCCTCTGTAAACACCCTCAGAAGGACCCTCTAAACCCTTTAGACCAGCCCTAAACCCCCTAAGCCCTAA